CTCACGGAGCGTCGTTCCCTCGCCCACACGGTACTTTACTTTTTATTACTACTGCTAAATACTTGTACGAATCTGATGGTCCTTGTCCAGCAGGATATGCAGCCGGGATCTTCGGTACTGGGGCCTCTTCGTCTCACGCCGGTAGGACTGGTCCTACTAGCCAGTTCTACGACGACGACTTGCACGGTGCAGACCACCAGGACGTACTAGGCTCCTCTCAGCTCGGAGGAGCTCCAGAGGCGCACACTCAGGAGCAGCCAGAGGTCACACCTGTACAGGCAGGACGGGTTGGCCGTGCCGTACCCCCGGACCGACTCACGTACTCCCAGGGGCACATTAGGGCGCAGGGTAGGAGGGACAGGGGTAAGAGGCCTCGTCAGTAGTGTTCTACCTCTTCAGTCCTTATGTGACCGTTTCTTTTGGCTTACAAACTTGTAAAGCAGTACTACTTTTGCTATTACTACTGCAGTACTACTTGTGTTTGTCTCGTCTACGTAGTTCTTTTCATTCATATGGTGCTTGAACAACTTATGCTCACAACAACACACTTTCGGCGCTTCACGGTAGTGCCATATCCAGTAGCGCGCACAGTCCACAACAGCACACATGAAAAGCGGCAGCTCGAGTTATCACTATCAACTTTCGACGCTGCCTGTTGACATAAAGTGAATCACGCCTACGCGTGATCGTCTTGTCACATCTAATGAATAATGTATCTCATTGAGTTCACATATATTGCAGTGAAAACGACGCTATATAATTGACAATCTGAAGGCAACCTCTTCATATCTTCTTTCCCACTAGCACACCACACACGAAAATGGAAGCCTATTCATTGGTAATACGTAATTTAGATTTGAGATTATGTATAACATTCTTCACTACAATTTTACATTTTGGCAGCAAACCAAATATGATCAAATGCAATTTTACCTTACTAAATATTTGGTAGTGCCAAAACTTGCTTATATTTTGGCACTAACAAAATATTTGTATGGTAACAATCCAAATATGCCCTAAAAAATAATAAAATTGTATTTTACCAGTCTTTGAGATTTTAATCTTGTATAGTTTTCAATATAAAAAGATTTCATAACTATTGCTATTTATATAAAAAAAAAATATAAAGCACAGTACAAAATCGCCCTCCCCCAGGGCGGCAAGGGGGCCGCCTGCAAAATTCCATGCCCCCTCGCCGCCCATTTGCAGGCGGCCCCCCACAGTACAACATCGCCCTAGCGGAGGGCGGCAAGGGGGCCGCCTGCAAAATTCCATGCCCCCCCTCGCCGCCCATTTGCAGGCGGCCCCCCGCACAGTAGAAAACCGCCCTAGCGGAGGGCGGCAAGGGGGCCGCCTGCTAATTTCGTTGACGGCCGTCGCCCGAGAGCGAACGGCCGGCTGCCACGTCATTTACGCCGCCCTCTGGGAGGGCGATTTTTAAAAATCGCCCTCCCAGAGGGCGGTAGGCGACTATTTCCGTCAATTTTCAAATTGGAAAATTATTTTTGTAAAACTTTTAATAAAAAAAATTATAAATAAAAAAAATTCCAGAAACAGATGTACGATGCGAAATTCCAGATTTGCCCTTCCACTTAATCAGCACAACGCGGATGGAGGGGAGGTACCGCCCATCGGCATTACGGTACCTGGCGGTACCGACGTTCGTTAGCCGTCGGATGGGTTCCAATGGACGTACATGATTTTGGTACCTCCTCTCCTGCTGGACCATAAAATTCCTCTTAATTTTAAGGAGCTCGCAAAGGCAAGCAACAACTTTGCCCCTGATAGAAAGATCGGTGAAGGTGGCTTCGGCTCGGTGTACATGGGATGTCTTCCCGATGGGCGGGTGGTCGCCATTAAGCATCGTGGTCTGAACTCACCTCAGGGTATGGAGCCGTTCAAGGCAGAGATCGCAATCCTCTCTGCCATCCGCTACAAGCACATCGTTCCACTATATAGCTACTATGTGTTGGTCGAGGAGAAGCAGAAGCGCCACCTCCTGCGGCCGTCCCGGAAGGAAAAGGAGGAGAAAGAGCATCTGCTCGTCTTTGAGTACATGGAGAACGGCTCGCTGGATCACCACCTGCACGGCCCAACGTCGTCGTCGTCGTCGCCAGTGGTGGCATCCTGGAAGACACGCATGGAGAGGAGATACTGCTAGGTGTGTCGCGGGCCATCGAGTACCTGCAGTTCTGCGGTCAGCAGCCGATCATCCACCGTGACATCAAGCCATCCAACATCCTTCTCGATGGCAACTGGACGCCGCGCTTGAAGGACTTCGGGCTCGGGTTTGCGCTCACCGAGGAAAAGGCAGAGACTGACACTGTCATTGGCACGCATGGATACCTGGCCCCGGAGTACCATATGGAACGCACTCTGAATTTGATGACCGATGTGTACAGTTTTGGCGTTGTGATGATGGTAGTATTGACCGGGAAGAAATCATATTTATTTGACGAAGAATCGGTGGAGAGGAATAGGGAAGAATGGAAGGAGAGGGAGAAGACAGAAGAATTTGAGGAAGACGAGAAGCGAGAAGAATGTGCGGAAGAGGAGGGGGAGAACACACAAGATGACAAGGAGGAGAGTGAACGACAAGAAGAGGAGAAGACAACAGAAGAATGGCATGAGTGGTATAAGTGGGACGAGAGGTCTGATCGCAGCTTGGTGTCCATCGCGCTGCCACTGATCGAGGCGGGGGAAGTGTGGAAGATGCTGGACAGGCGGCCGGCAGCGGAGCCAACGCCGAGGCAGCTGGAGGCGGTGGAACTGGTGGCGCAGACGGCAGTGCATTGCGTGCGGCTGCGGTGGGAGGAGCGGCCACCCATTTCGGTATTCGTGACCAATCTCGAGAAGGCGCTCGAGCTCGCCCGTTATGATGGGTAGCATAGCCTTCCCGAGACATCTTATGTGAACTGGGCAATGTATTTCTCATCATGTAATAATTAACGCTGTTGAGTCTCTTCTCTTTTGTGAGCATACACAATTAAACATACCAATTTGGTGTGATCAACGAACAGAATCTTACTATCTTTTTTGCTGATTTCTAATGTCCACTTGTGCAGCTGTGCTGAACCAACAACCCCCGGATCCTTGCTCTCAGCTTGTGCTGTGAATTCAATTGTTAAGCTAGGTGCCTGGCTCCCAATCTCTTCTTGTTCACCTGTGTGAGTATGAGGAAGATATGAAGATTGGTGTAAGAAATAGTTGAGGACGCACGAATTTTAACTGGTTTTGCTCCCATTAGCACAAAAAGAAAATCAACAAAATATAAAGACCCTGCAACTGCTATTTATTCGTATTTTCCCCACACCTTCTCCCTGCTCTTAAAACTAAGAATCTCAGTATCCTGTTGGATTAAAGCGGGGTTCATATGACTCAGAATGTATTCAATGGATAGTTGCAACTGAAGTATTTTCCTGGAAATGTTTCTCAAAAACCTGATAATAGGTACAGACTACAGAGTTCCAAGAATATACTTGACAGTAACGGACACATGGCTTCCTTTGTGCGTCCTTTCATCGAACACTTGGAGCTCAAGACCAATCATACCAGTATATCGGCGAGTCAAACCTTTCGCTCCTTCTCATTTTCAAGAGCGCTCGAGGCGACCGCGAGCCATGGCCGGGCGTGGCGTGGCGTGGCGGGCGCGAGACTGTTTGCACTATCTGCTCGACTGCTCCGCCGCCGGCGCCACCTCGGCCTCGTCGTCGTCGAGGGATTTTGCTGTTCTAGACTTCTTCTAGTGGAGACAAATTGCTGGTCCGAAACGGGGTCGTGGTTGACGTGCCTCTATATGGGCCAGAATTGAGGTAGTATGGGCCGACCTACAATTAAGTTTTACGTGGGCCCATTTCTCAGCCCAATTTGAGATGCATATTATGTCTGTAGTGGACCGTCTGTGATGCTTGCGCTTCCTGTGATTTTAACTAAAGCTATCATCAGGTTTACACAAGTCAAATTGATCGAAATAAACTGGCATGCAGGCACTACAACCCGCTACATCAGGTTTACAAGCTATCATCAGATTTACACATTGTCGACGTTTGATGTCGCGATTCCGGTATTTGCATAGTATGTGGATCGTTGGTACTAGGATATATGCGAGACTGAGGTAAAAGAGATAGAGACGAGGATTTTTATACAGGTTCGGGCCCCTGAATTGTCAGGTAATAACCCTACATCCTGTTGGCCGAAGCCGGTATTGCTCTTATTCACCATAATCACACCAGTATAATATTTGGGGTAGCCTATCTAACTGTTGTCGACATGGCGGTCTGAAAGTCTGACTCGTAGTCGACAACAGGGTAGTCTTCCTTCTCGAGTTCGTGCCCGGCGAGATCAGAGACAGCGCAATGTCTCTCCTATCAGTATCCGGAGACACCGTAGGGGACTAGCCGTGCCTATCTCCGAAGTCGATATCCGACGTCTTGTCTTGTCGTATGTTGGCTTGTATGTTGTCTGTCTCTTCTATGGTGGGTGTCCGTTGATTGTGGGGTTGTCCCCTCTCCTCCTAGGGGACCTTGTATTTATATTCATAGGTGTCCCCCTGTCCAAGTAGAACTAGGGAAACCAACAATCCGAGTAGTCCTTGTCGTTTCCATGTAAAACTCTGGTTGTCTTCCCTTATCCAGAACTCCTCATATATCCGCAGGTTGTTTCCGTATAGGACATGGTATGTGGTGTGTCCTGTCGAGATTTAGTCAACTACTATTAGGTATGTAGTATCCATAACCCTGACACACATAAAAAAGACATGCAATGATTGTAAGTTGGGTGTAGTAGTAGCAACCTGATTTGAGAGTGAGGTCGCTCGTTATGACAATCCAGTATACGGTAACGTCGTAGTCACGTCCATTTCATGAACTCATTGGACATATTTTGTTTACCCTAGAAGGAGAGGCACTTGCATGATTATATTCCGTCATATAATTTGTGTCAAAACAAGAAACGTCCTTATCCCCCTCCTTCACAAAAAAAAGGGGCAACTAGAGCATAAAGTAAGCAAGGTCAGAGAGACGCTGAGGCCTGAGGATCAAGTCTTCAAGACGAGGCAGCCGTCCTCTGCATTTCATCTTTGTCGATCCGTTTGTTAGAAACAAAGAACAGAATCCTTATATGTCTTAGTGCCATGGCACTGTGGAGCGGGCTGGGGCAGGCGGCGACGGTGGCGCAACTGGTTGGTGCGGACGTCGGCGGGCTCATCTCCATGATCATGCAGGCGGCGATGACGGCTCAGCAGAACAAGAAGGAGTGCGAGCAGCTCGCCCGCCGCGTCTTCACCATCGCCGAGCTGCTGCAGCACCTGCAGGATCCCGATTTGCTGCGGCGGCCTGAGATCCGGCGGCCGCTGACCGGGCTCGACGACACGCTTCGGGAGGCACACGAGCTTGTGTTGTCGTGCCAGGACAAGAGCGCCGTGTACCAGTTGGTGATGGCAAGGAGGCAGGCTGACCGGTTCAGAGATGTGCAGAGCAGGATCGACTCCTATCTCCTCCTCGTCCCCGTTATCAGCCTCCTGGATATCACTCGTCGTCTCGATCGTATCTACAACATACTGCTTCCAACCAACACGCCCGGACCATCTATGCCTGCTTTCTCCGTGCCCCCAAATCCATCCCCTCCCGCTCAGGTACACATTGAAGTGGGAAGACTCAACTCTCAAGCATTCAATTGTATACTTGTAGTACTATCTATACTATTCTACTGCAACTCTTTTGATTTGGTATTCAGTTCCTCTTTCTTTCCGTTGTGTTCATCGCTATACTAGGTTGCCACACAGTTTGTTTGGAGAGGAACCCATGGAGTCAAAGAATTCACTTTTAAGGAGCTCACAACGGCGACGAACAACTTTTCTCTTGACAGAAAGATTGGTCAAGGCGCCTTCGCTACGGTGTACATGGGTAGGCTTCCCGACGGACGCGAGGTGGCCATCGAACGCACGCTCGAAACATCCGGCATAGGGAAAATAGACATCATGAGAGAGCTCAGTATCCTCCGCTCCATTAGCCACCAGCACATCGTCCGCGTCTTTGGCAGCTGTGTGAAGGAGAAGCGCCAGCTCCTGCCACCGTTTCGGAAAAAGGAGGAAGAGATCCTACTCGTCCTCGAGTATATTGAGAACGACACCCTTGACAAACACCTGCACGGCCCACGGTCGTCGTCGCCGGTGATGACGTCCTGGAAGACGCGCATCGAGATACTGCTAGGTGTGTCGAGGGCCATCGAGTACATGCAGTCCTACGGTGAGCGGCCGGTGATCCACCGTGACGTCAAGCCGTCCAACATCCTGCTCGATGCGAGCTGGGCGCCGCACTTGACGGACTTCCTTTGGGCGCTCACATGGGAAGGCCCAGGCCATCAGGAGAATATTATTGGCACCTATGGATACTTGGCCCCGGAGTGCGTTATAGCAGGCACTCTAAACCCGACAGTCGATGTCTACAGTTTGGGTGTTGTGATGCTGGAGGTATTGACGGGGAAGAAACCATATTTCTCTAAAGAAGAATGGGAAAAGGAGAAGACAGAAGAACGTGTGGAAGAGGAGAAGAGAGAAGAATGTGAGCAAGAGGGGAAGAACACAGAAGAGGGCAAGGAGAGTGAACGAGAAGAAGATGGGAAGACAAAAGAAGAATGGCATGAATGGCGAAAGCGGGAAATGTTTAGTCGTCGCCACAACTTGGTGTCCTTCGCGCTGCCACTGATCGAGGCGGGGGAGGTGTGGAAGGTGCTGGACAAGCGGCCGGCAGCGGAGCCAACGCCGAGGCAGCTGGAGGCAGCGGAACTGGTGGCGCAGATGGCAGTACGCTGCCTGCTGCTGCAGTGGGAGGAGCGGCCGCCCATTTCGGAAGTCGTGGCCAACCTCGAGAACGCGCTCGAGCTCGCCCATTGCGACGGTTAGCATAGCCTGGGCTCCCGAGACATCCTATGTGAATTGGGCAATGTATTTCTCATGTAAAAATTAATGCTGTTTGCTTCTGTTTCTCTTTTGTGAGCATACACAATTAAACATCGGAACTGCTAATGGTCTGTTGACAGAAAATAGGGTGCTAAATCTGTCACTTTTTTACCATTCATCTTTGTTTAAAATTCATGCTGCATTTGGATTCAATGGATTGAGCAAAGTCAGGCACGGTTGTGGACTTTGAGATGGATTGGGTTTTTGCTAGACTTTGTTGTTGTGTTCTGTGGGTCCCACATTTACGGTTCAATTTCGAAACACACGCCTGCTTTTTTGCTTTTTTTCCTCACATTTGAGCAGTGTTTTCTATTGCTACTTTGTTTATGATCCCACGCTTACTAATTACATCGTACTTACACTAAAATTACATATAATTACATATGTAATTTTGTGACTTACATCATAAATATACTAAAATTACATATGTAATTTTATTACTTACATCATAAATACACTAAAATTACATATGTAATTTTTGGAACTTACAATGTAAATACATGCCGACTTTTTTTTTTTTGAATATTATGACATCATATCATAGTTACTCCCTAAATTTAAATAGATGAGATTAAATTTAGCTGTTAGATGTTTATCCTATGGCTCGAAAAATCTGCACAATAGGAGGCTAGAAAATATGTCACAGGCAGTCCCATTAAACATACCAATTTGGTGTGATCAACGAACACAATTAAACATAACAATTTCAGTTATTTATAAATTGTATTTCTATATTTTTAGAAATCCCGTCAAACGCTGCCACTATACATCCTCTATGACCCATCTGCCGCCTACTTTTTATTGTCATTGGGACTCTAAAAATCGAATATAACTATCGTTGGAATTTAATTTTTACTTATAGAAGTCCCACCAACCATCGACGGGTCTGCCATTGTACTCCTGTACGACCCGCCCGCTGCCTCTCATTTTTGTTGTCATTGAGATTTTAAAAATTAAATATGATTATCATTGGGGTTTATTTTTTTTATTTTCTAGATGTTCCGTCAACCGCCTTGACCGATTGCTTCACGACCTGCACGTCGTCCTTTCTTTTAATCGTCATTAGGATTTTATTTAGTGTTTTGTTAATAGTTTTTAGATGTTACATCAACCGCCACCACTCTATTTCTTTATATTCATGTTATTTAATTAATATCGTCATGTGTTTTAGATTACTCTGATGATTAAAAAAAGTCATAATTCCAATAATTGAACTTCCCATGGTAATGTACTAATATGTGCTAACCTCACTGTTTATTTAATGTAGGTTTAGAGAGTAATATATGACATGCTAAGCTGCTATGATCTCATTGATGTCCTAATTGGGTTTAGTCAATAAGATGGATGCGTCCAACACCTCGCACGCATGTGTTATTGTCGTTTGTTTTTCATGTGTGCACGCATCATATTGTCATGGGTATGGCGCATGAGACAGACACGGATGCTAGTTTTACACGTGATTACCAAATTATACCACAAACAAATACAACTCAGTTACCGATTTACGACTTAATCTATCTATCTATCAACTCCATCCGTTTCAGAATGTAAGTCATTCTAGCATTTCCCATATTTATATTGATGTTAGTGAATCTAGACATATATATCTATCTAGATTCATTAACATTAATATGAATGTGGAAAGTGCTAGAATGACTTACACTGTGAAACGGAGGAAGTATTATCTATCTATCTATCTATCTATTATATTATTAAAACAGCTTTGAAAAGAAGCACCACTTTCACTGTGGAGGCTAGAAATTCCAACATTAATCGGAGAAAAAGAAAAAAAAAAGAAAAGGAGAGTACAAGTAGAAATACAATCTAAAAATAGCTGAAATTCAGAATTAAAAATAAGCTATATTGAAAGAAGTTTCCATATAAGAACCCAATACGAGATTAATCAAATTTCGAAATAGAATAAAATCCAAAATTAGAAAAGGAAAGGAGAGTCCGAGTAGAAATACAATTTTAAAATAGCTGAAATTCGGAATTAAAAATATGCAATATTGAAAGAAGAGTCCATATAAGAACCCAATATGAGATTAATCAAAATTGGGAATAAAAATAAAAATAAAATATGAAATTAGCAAAAATAAAAAAGAAGAGTCCAAGTATGAATACAATTTAAAACTAACTGAAATTCAGAATTAAAAATAAGAAATATTGAAAGAAGAGCCCATATCAGAACCAATACGAGATTAATTAATATTAATTTGGAATAAAAATAAAAATAAAGTCTGAAATTAGCAAAAAGAAAAGAAGAGTTCAAGTAGGAATACAATTTAAAATTAACTGAAATTCGGAATTAAAAATAAGCAATATTAAAAGAAGAATCTATATAAGAACTCAATACGAGATTAACTAATATTTAGAATAAATAATAAAATAATATTCAAAATAAGAAAAACTAAAAGAGAGTTCAAGTAGGAAAACAATTTTGAAACAACTGAAATTCAAAAAAAAAGAACACTATACGGTATTAATTAAAATTTGAATTTTTTTCTAAAATTAGAAAAAGAAAAAAATTCAATTAGGAATACAATTTATAAATAACTAAAATTAGTGATAAAAAATAAAGACTGTTGAAAGAAAAGGCTATCTAAAACACATGACGAGATAAATTAAGTAACATGCATATAAAGGAGTAGAGTAACAGCGGCGTATAAAAACTGTTAATAAAACACAAAATAGAATCCTAATGACGATTAAAAGGAGGGACAGCAGGTAGGCCGTGAAGCAAACAGGTAAGGCGGTTGTCGGGACTTCTAGAATGTAAAAAAATAAACCCTATTGATAATCATATTCAATTTTTAAAATCTCAATGACAGTAAAAAGGAGAAGCAGCGGACGGGGTGTATAGGAGTATAGTTGTATAGCCGCCGACGGTTGGTGGAACTTCTAGAAAATAAAAAATGAATTATGAATTCCAACGATAGTTATATTTGATTTTTAGAATCCCAATGACAATAAAGTGTAGGCAGCGAATGGACTTTAGAGGAGTACAGTGGCATCATTTGACGGGACTTCTAAATATTATAAAAAATAAAACCCAACAAGACAATAAACTCTAAAACCTACAAGGTTCATTTTTTAAAGGTTCGGAACTTCTAAAAAGTAAAAAAAAAACCAATGATAATCATGTTCGATTTTAAAATCTCAATGACAAATGGACCGTAGAGTAGTATAGTGGCATCGTTTGACGGGACTTCTAAATATTATAAAAATTGAAACCCAACAATACAATAAATTCTAAAATCTACAAGGTCCATTTTTTAAAGGTTCGGAACTTCTAAAAAGTAAAAAAAAAACCCAATGATAATCATGTTCGATTTTAAAATCTCAATGACAATAAATAAGGGAGGCAGCGGGCGAGCCATAAAGGAGTACAATGGCAAAGCCACCAACGGTTTGGCGGGACTTCTAGAAAGTAAAAAGTTGAACTCGAACGATAATTATGTTCGATTTTTAAAATCCCAATGACAATTAAAGAGAAAAAATAGTGAACGGGCCGTAGAGGAGTATAATGATAGTGTTTGACGGAACTTCTATAAATTATAAAAATGAAACCCAACGAGACAATAAACTCTAAAAACTATAAACTATAAGATCCAATCTTTAAAGGTTTCAAAAAGAATAAATAGAAATAGTGGTAGATCGAGTAAGCAAATAAAGAACAATATGATAGAAGTAAGGGGTAACAGCTGGTGTGACTTTTTAAAACTATATAATTAGAAATACGGGGATAATAAGGTTTGGTTTTCAAAATCTTAAGATAACCAGATAGCTATTTAATAAATTTTAAGCAAAATCATACTGAAAAGGGATTGCCTACACATTTGTCGGGTGATTTTTAACAAGAAATCACCCAGATTTTTTTTACACTTAGATTTATATCCAACGGACTATAAAATAAAATAACTAATACAAATTTGCTTATTCAATATTTTTATCAAAATTATAGTGCACTTACATATCATATCAACTAAATTTACATGTGTAATTTTAGTTATATAGAACTGTAATTTTATATTTTAAATACTTACATGTCATATCAACTGAATTTACAAATGTAATTTTAGTTATATAGGACTGTAATTTTATATTTTAAAGAAAATAACAAATACATATTTACTTACACTTTATTTTTATAAAAATTACAGTGCACTTACATGTCATATCAACTGAATTTACAAATGTAATTTTAGTTCTATAGGACTGTAATTTTATATTTTAAAAAAAATAACAAATACATATTTACTTACACTTTAGTTTTATCAAAATTACAGTGCACTTACGTATCATATCAACTGAATTTACAAATATAATTTTAGTTAGTGTAATTACATACAAGTTGCAGTGTAATTACACTATGAGTGTATTGTAATTACATCTGTGAAATTTCTAGAAAAAAATTTATCGGCAAATATATATATAAAAAATTGAATAGAATAGGTTTCTAGCGATGGTAGATTTGTTAGGCATGGCCGCATGGTGGTGTAATCTAGTGTGGGATCCTAGCTTTGGCTTGGTTCAGATTTATGCACAAGATTCAAGTGCAGAGAAGGTCGTCCCGTCCGGCGATCGTCTCCACTCATCATGCCCAAAGGGACGAGCACAGTGCGAACAAGATCATCCCGACCGGCTGACCACGCATGCAGCCTCCACCATCGTGCGGTCAGCAAATCCGTGAAATCACTGGGAAAAAAATCACACGACAGATTTCTAGCGAAATCGTACTGAAAAATATATGATTTTGTTTAGGTGCTAGCCGCGCAATTGCGTGGGCCACCCAGCTAGTTAGCTTAATCAGCAGGAAAATTAGATCTCTATTCTATTCTCGTAGAGTTGTATTACCTATAAAACCTTTTCTATTTATAAATTAATTTGGGGACTATCTATACAACGTTCGACTGAAAATTAGCCTAAAAATCTGTCAAATGTAACTGTAACATAATTACAATGTAATTTTCATAATTACACTATATTTATACTATAATTACATATGTAATTTTCATAATTACACTATATTTGCACTATAATTATATATGTAATTTGCATGTAACTCGCATGTAATTATAGTATAAGTAAGATGTAAGTTCAAACTAGATCATAAAAATATTGTAGCCCAATGGGGCAGTCACGCCTTCATCCCATGAGGTCACAGGATCGATCCCTAAATATGATTTTGTTTTTCTTCCTAAAAGCAC